CTATATAAACCGGGGGTCTTTAGTCCGTAGGACATAACCTCCATTACAACAATCATACCATAGGCTAGCTTTTAGGGTTTAGCCTCCTTGATCTCGTGGTAGATCTACTCTTGTACTACCCATATCATCAATATTAATCAAGCAGGACGTAGGGTTTTACCTCCATCAAGAGGGCCCGAACCTGGGTAAAACATCGTGTCCCTCGTCTCCTGTTACCATCCGCCTAGACGCACAGTTCGGGACCCCCTACCCGAGATCCGCCAGTTTGGACACCGACAAAGGCCGTATTGCTAGCTAAGCTCTGGACGAGCCGGATGGTCCTGTTGCAGATTAGCACGGACCCGCTTAATGGTGTCCGGGGGCTTTATTGCCGAATTGAGGTTTTACCTAAGGAGGCTATTCTATACTTCTGCTGCAAGGGCCACAGTGTGCTCCTCAGTACGGAGGGAGAGCTCCGTATTTCCATTGACTGTTATAACACCGCGAGGTCCGGGCATCTTGAGCTTAAGGTAGGCGTAGTGCGGCACCGCATTGAAATGGGCAAATGTGGTTCGTCTGAGCAGTGCGTGATAACCACTGCGGAAGGAGACGATATCGAAGAGTAACTATTTGCTTCGGAAATTATCCGGGGATCCGAAGACCACTTCCAGTGTGATTGAGCCCGTGCAGCAGGCCTCTACACTTGGTATGACACCTTTAAAGATGGTTTTGGTGGGTTTGATCCTTGAGGGATTAATACCCATTTTGCGCACTGTATCCTGATAAAGCAGGTTCAGGCTGCTACCACCGTCCATGAGGACGCGTGTGAGGTGGAATCCGTCAATGATAGGGTCAAGCACCAGTGTGGCTGAACCGCTGTGACGAGTACTGGTCGGATGGTCCCTTCGACCGAAGGTGATCGAACAGGAGGACCACAGGTTGTATTTTGGGGCGACTAGGTCCATCGCGTAGACGTCCCTTAGTACGCGCTTCCGCTCCCTTTTGGGGATATGGGTAGCATATATCATATTCACCGTTTTCACTTGGGGAGGAAACTTCTTCTGTCCCCCTGTGTTCGGCGGCCGGGGTTCCTCGTCGTCGTCACTTGGCGATCCCTTTTCCTTGTTTTTAGCATTTAACTTGCTGGCCTGTTTAAAGACCTAACATTCTCTGTTGGTGTGATTGGCTGGTTTATCGGGGGTGTCGTGGATTTGACATGGACGATCAAGTATGCGGTCTAGACTGGACGGGCCCGGATTGTTTCGTTTAAATGCCTTTTTCCACTGACCAGACTTGGAGCCACTGAATCCGGTGTCTTCGGCGTTATCTCCATTGTTTCGACGCTTGTGTCTGTTGCATCAGGGCTCGTCGTTGCTATCTCTGGTTTCAGAAGTGCCAGGTTTACTTGAGGTGTTGTCGCTACGAGCTAGCCAGCTATCATCGCCCGCACAAAAGCGACACATGAGTGTCGTGAGGGCTGCCATGGACTTCGGCCTCTCTTGGCCGAGGTGTCGGGCGAGCCACTCGTCGCGGATGTGCTTAAAGGCTGCTAGGGCTTCAGCATCCGGACAGTCGATGATTTGGTTCTTTTTAGTTAAGAACCGAGTCCAGATATTCCTGGCAGACTCTCCGGGCTGCTGGATTATATGACTTAAGTCATCGGCATCCGGAGGTCGGACATAAGTGCCCTGGAAGTTGTCGAGGAATGCGTCTTCCAGGTTCTCCCAACTGACAATAGAGTTTTCGGGCAGACTGTTCAACCAGTGCCTAACTGGTCCCTTGAGTTTTAGCGGGAGATACTTGATGGCATGGAGGTCGTCGCCGCGGGTCATATGTATATGGAGAAGGAAGACCTCAATCCATACCGCGGGATCTGTTGTTCCATCGTATGATTCAATGTTTACGGGTTTAAACCCTTCTGGGAATTCATGTTCCATTACTTCATCAGTGAAGCAGAGGGGATGCGCGACACCTCTGTGTCAGGCTATGTCCGGACGTATCTCGAATGGAGCCGGTCTGCGGTATTCGGCCCGGACAGGTTTGTGCTTGTTATATCCGGCTTTGCGGTCATCGTTGCGCATTGGGCGCACCCCTGCGATCTGTAGATCGATCTGGTTTGTCCTGCTCATGTGTGTATCCCCGAGTTGTTGTATTTGTATTTGTTCGGCGAGGCAGTGCCGGCTGGTGCTCGTGCTGAATTGCTGTTTTATCTCGGCCATGTGGTGGTCTGTCATACGCTGGTAGTGCTGGCTCCAATGCCTCGTCATCGAATTGAGGTAGCAATTTGCGCTTCGGGTAACTTTTGGTTGGGCGCTCGAGTCCGTATTCCTCGGCTGCTAGGACCTCAATCCATCTATCTGTGAGCAGATCTTGACCAGCTTGAAGCTGATGCTGCTTCTTCTTCAGGCTCCTTACCGTGGCTATAAGGGGGCGCTTAAAGTGCTCCTGCTCGATGGGATCCTCTGGCACGATAAATTCTTCGTCGCCGAGGCTCACCTCGTCTTCGGAGAGAGTCATGTAGTTGCTGTCCTCCGAGTCTTAGTTCACGGCCTGTTCATCGGGGCTGGCTCGCCCATCTTCCCGTTCAGCCTGTTCAAAACTTGGCTTGCTGGGGTCTTAGTTGTCTTCGGCATCGTCCGGAGTGCTATTATCTCTTGTGTCGGTATCGCTATTTTTACCATGGCGTGATTTAGAGCGGCGCCGCTGACGTCGACGCTTAGACTGCTTCTCAGGAAGTTTGTCATCAACTGCATCTTGTATGTCATCGCCATTGTCTTCTTTGGGTGTATCCACCATGTATATATCGTATGAGGAGGTGGTTGTCCAGCGCCCTGTGGGCGGTGGTTCCTGTTCTTCTTCGGCATCGTCGTCCATACCGTCGATGTCTTCAGAGTCGAAATCAAGCATGTCGGTCAAATCATCGACAGTGGCTATCAAGTGGGTGGTGGGTGGGTAACGAAATTCTTCGTCGTCTGCTTCCCACTCAAGCCGGACATAGTTCGGCCAAGAATCTCCTGACAAGGAGAGAGATTTTAGTGAGTTCAACACATCGCCTAGGGGTGAGTGTTGGAAGATGACTGCAGAGCTGAACTCTAAGATCGGCGCCCAGTCAGATTCGATGGGTGTGGATTCACGTGGTTCGGAGCCTGTAGCCGGAGACGAGTCCGAGGTTCCGAGCAGGCCTCGTTGGAGGTCAGGTCGGTATTCGGCTCGAGCGCCGTTGAGTCCGCGGCCTCCGTGGTGAGGTTGAGCCTCCCGTCCTCGGATGGCGCGCTCTGCTCTGGATCTAGGGCAAGTGCGGTTACAGGTGCCATCTCTCGCACACCATATGACGACAGATTTAGGTCATGTTCATCGTGGCGGCGGGGCGTGGCTGTCATAGGCTCGAATCTGTCGAAGATCAAGTCTCCGCGGATGTCGGCGGTGTAGTTTAAGCTTCCAAACCTGACCTGATGGCCAGGGGCGTAACTGTCGATCTGCTCCAGATGGCCAAGCGAGTTGGCCCTCAGTGCGAAGCCGTTGAATACGAAGACTGTCCGGGGAGAAAAACTCCCCCCTGGACGGCGTTGTTGTAGATGATTGAAGGAGCCATCAAGCCTTATGGTGGCGACATAGTGGAACTCTCAATGAAAGCACCAGTGTCGGTGTCAAAATCGGCGGATCTCCCGAACTATGCGTCTAAGGCTAATGGTAACAGGAGGCGGGGGACATAATGTTTACCCAGTTTCGGGCCCTCTCCATGGAGGTAATACCCTACTTCCTGCTTGATTGATCTTGATGATATGAGTATTACAAGAGTAGATTTACCACGAAATCGTAGAGGCTAAACCCTAGAAGCTAGCCTATGATTATGATTGTTCTTGTCCTACGGACTAAACCCTCCGGTTTATATAGACACCGGAGGGGGCTAGGGTTACACAAAGTCGGTTACAGAAAAAGGAATCTTCGTATCCGAATCGCCAAGCTTGCCTTCCACACAAAGGAGAGTCCCATCCGGACACGGGACGAAGTCTTCTATCTTGTATCTTCATAGCCCAACAGTCCGGCATACGTATACAATCCGGTTGTTCGAGGACCCCCTAATCCAGGACTCCCTCACACCCACACCATGGCCAGGAGGAGGGGGTCGCGCCGGGAGAGTCCCCGCTGCCACCGACACTGCCCGGGCTTTGCCCGGCAGCGGCCCACGGTGGCGGCGAGGTGGAGGGGAGCGACGAGGGGAGGCCGGCGGCGCAAAAAACAGGGTTTCCCCATGTCTCCCCGAGAGGGACGCCAGGGTCAGGAGAAAGTACCCAAAACCTAACACGACCATGACAGGAGTGATTCCTGTGCACCCCAATATCATAGTATTAGAGAAGTTGGGAACCGGAGCAAAGTATAGATGCTCCGGTGCCAAATTTGTCCGAGCGTAAATAAATTATGGTGGGAGCGTGGATAGTTTGAGTAGAATTATGATGGTAGAGGTGAGAGCATTTATCTTTCTTTTACCAATGATGTGTCCCATCTACTCCCTGGGAAGGGAGTAGTTGACATTTGGCATTGACTAGATCGGAGAGAAAATGACAAGTTAGCACTAATGTTAAATGCTAATGATGTTGGCAAATTTGACATCGTAATCGTAAACATTGTGGGTGGAAGCCATAATGCTGAGAGGCTCGGCTCGCTATAGTGGAGCTCAGCGACTTTTTCCATGTGGAATTTTTCACTGCCATATCGCAAAGTTTTTGTCCTATGTTTAAGTTAAACTCCCTGACGTGAATAAGTTTTAATCATAGCTGCGGTCAATATGGGGAGGAGGGAGTACATGTCTACGACACAGAGAAACAAGACTGAAAGTGAAACCATTTGGAATCACAGCTCAAGGAACCAGATCGACCCAACCATAGAAACAAGAGCATTACTGAGCCACGAAATCAAAACGGCAATCCCGTAGCAGAACTCCCCAGCCTAACACTTCTGCATTGCATTTGCCTATCCAAAAATCTTGCTACAAAAATACGCCTACGTGTAACACCCCATTGTTAAATTAATTCTTTCTTGACTTCAGACACGAGGCCGGCGTCTGTTTGGCTTTTCACATTGTGCAGCACCTGTAGAATTGCAATGTCGTTACAATGATGAGTTGCTGTTAAAACAGGTTCATTTTGCTCGCAATGGGTGGAATTCGTGAGAGCATACCTTGTCAATGATACCGTAATCCACTGCCTCGCTTGGGCTGAAGTATTTAGGCCGCCTGATGTCTCGAGCAATCTCTTCCATTGGTTTACCAATGTGTCTTGACAGCAGCTTAACCTGAACAGCACAAAGAAGAGTCCGACAACTCATTATACCAAACCAATGGCCTCGAATAATTGAATCTCCCTTCACTCTTCGTGGTCAATTAGTGTGATCTATGTATCGTGGATGAAAACAGTGCAAACAAACATCTTCCAAGTCCCAAGGTTTTATCATCATTTCAGTACAAAATAGTAAGACCATATGAGGCCACACCATACTTATGCAAAGCAACTACTCCCTCCGTTTCTAAATATAAGACCTTTTAGAGTTTTCAATAGGGACTACATACAGATGTATAGACATATTTTAGAGTGTAGATTCACTCATTTTGCTCCGTATGTAGTCCATACTGAAATCTCTAAAAAGACTTATATTTAGGAACGGAGGGAGTAAATTGTTGCCAACATCAGGTATTTTCCAGTAAATTTGCATGTGACCATGCTTTTTTTACATGGATCGCTGTTGGAATGACTAAATATTGAGATGTCACTATCATTTCCCAGGACAGGAAGCAAAAATATAACCATAAACTGATATTTCTACATCCCTGTATGGACAATATGCCTGATTTTCTTCTATTCCTAGAAAAATGCTTATTTTTCAGGATCCAGGGCCCTCTAGACAAACAGGGATCCCCTACGACAGCAACCATTGTCCTCTCCCCGAAGTCATGAGCCTATATTTCCATAGCATGTGGACACCCTAGAGATTTTTCTAAAATATGCAGGTTGTAGTGCTAATGAAAGATTATCAAATATTTAATTGTGTTTTCCTGAGAGCTCATTCAAGCCAGGAACTATGAATGAGATTGATATAAGGAATGCTACACAGGGAACTAGTGTATACTTCATGTGCTGTGACTGTGGCAAGCTCTATTATTTCTAAATAATAGAGCGGATGTTGTAAAACAAAATCCTTACTGCCGCTGCTATTGATTATCAAAAAACAAAGAATTGAAGAAAATAGGAGTCTAGAATTGCACAAGTTGGTATGAGTCCGTGGTAACTAGAATAATATGAACATGTTAACGGTAAATAATGCTGAATTAGTTTGACTTCAAAACTGAGGTTATCAGCTCTTTCTTTGCGGAAGGAGTGAAAAGTACCATTTCTATCTTCACATTTCGTATTTCCTTTCTCGCTATGTCAACATCTGTTGCCTGACCTTGAAATCGACCAATTGGCTGCACATTGCAGGTCAGAAGAGTAAGATAATCTGGCCTCATATTTATAAACAAGAATAAGGATCTTGTACACAGCTAAGTGTGTTAACAAAAGAAGTATCGGCGTGTTTTTTGGTGCCCAAGCAAACTAAGCCAATATTTTAGCTATCAATTTTTTTCAGAAGAGCTATCGAAAAATTTGGTCGGACATGCTTTGGCCAACATTGCCAAGAAAATGCATTGGAATCCGATGAAGGGGCATGTGAATTCCAACACGGCAGAGAATGGCAATATCCATACCCTGTGTGCATGGACGTACCACAATCAAAAAAGGATATAATACGATATTCTGCCGTCATCATCTAACTACTCGTGTGCAGTATAACCATCTAAGATAGAAATTATATGTTATCTCTATCAACAAAAGGAAGAGAAATAACCTGCTTCATCATTATCGTCGATGATGGAAGTGCGGCACGGTTACCTTTAGCACCAGCAGCCAAGAGTAAAGCAGCTTCTCCCCATGCATTGCCAATACAGAGTGTGAAAATTGGAATTTTGACATACCTGCATTTGGTGAATACATATAAGACGGCATTGCAGAAGTATTGCTGGAATTGCTAGGATACATGCATATCTTTAGACATGATTAAGAACTGAGAATATCTTTTTGGATGAGGGAACAAGGCATTGACAATGGCTCTTAAAATAATGGAAGTCTTAAAAAAAAGTTAGCAATAGAATAGTACAGCTAGTAAAACCTTGCACGCTAAAGACCTTTTGATCCAAAGAACTTCCATAGAAATTTTAGAGGATCTTAATCCTTAAGAAATTTTCCTATGTTTGTTGATTTGTAGGATTGTAATCCATATGAATTTCTCGATGGGCTTTCTCCACTCTATTTCATAGGAAAATTTGTGTTGACTCATACATCTTGGAAAAAATCCTATGACAAATAGGCAAGATGCCCGGTCAAAACAAAAACTTAAGCAAGATGCATTCAATTGCAATCATATGGTTTTCCTACTCCTGCGTCTATGGAATTCTACAGATCAAAAAGGCCCTACCAATTGATGGAAAACACACTAATTGGACTATTCTACTATGTAACCTTAGAGAGCATGCAGTCAAACTTTTCCTAACTTGGGGCAACCCAGTGCACGTAGCTCCCGCTTGCGCAGGGTCTGGGGAAGGGTCCGACCACTTTGGGTCTTTTGTACGCAGCCTTTCCCTACATTTCTACAAAGGCTGTTTTCATGGTCACAAGGCAACAGCTTCACCGATGCGCCAACGCAACTTTCCTAACTTTGAAGAACAAAATATGTAAATTATTGAGATTGTCGATATGAAAATAGTAACAGTATATTCACCATACTGAATCTCCCACACAAAAAATAACCATATTAAACGTTTTTTATTTTTTAGAGAAGGAGGTTAAACCCCCGGCCTCTGCATCAATCGATGCATGCAGCCATCTTTATTAATTATTCCACAAAGGACTCACAAGAACATACATCAATCCACCCGAAGCCACCACTCACACCTGCACACTCGATAATGTGGAGTGCTCTCACTCCCCATATCTAAAACCGGTGTCGTCGCCGATCCATCCACATAACGTATCGGGGCCAACATCCGGTGCAGCCTACCTAAAGCGCACACCACATGCACACGTTTTAGGAGCCGCCATCATCATCGGACCACTGATCCATCTTCAGGAGAGATCCGCATCATCCTTGCCAATCCGGACATCCGTTGACGCCACCACGGCGCCCAATGGCGCCACCGCCCTGCGCTCGTCCGTCCAGACACGAAGACTCTGAAAGACCTGTCGTGCGTAGCACCTGCCAAGCAGGCATGACTCAGAGTAGCACCTGTCGGCCAGGCATGACTTGACAGCTCCACCGAAGCTTCGTGCAAGAGGAAGCCGCTCCACCTCCTGTCCCTGTCTTCCAGCGCTGCTCCACAAACGATGCTCCCAAGAGAGAAACGGCACCATAGTACCTCCATCGTCCGATCTGGAAGACCAGATCCTAGGGTTTCCCCCGAAGCAGCACAAGTGGGTCGACAACAGTTACACAACGCTGACTTCATCGAGGTAACGGCGCAAAACGTCGCCATCGCCCGCCAACGGCTCGGTTTTCACCGGCAACTGTCTCCCTGACTCGTAGTCGGGACTAGATGAAGAATCTGGAGATCCAACCACCCAGCCGCGGGCCGATCACCTCTGGCGGAAGAGATGACCACCACCGCCGGCTGCACCGGCCAGAACAGATCTGACCGGAGGTGCCGCCGACGCCACCACCAGGCCCTCCACGCTGCCGCCGCCGCCAATCCAAAGGCAGATGGCGCGCCGCCGCCACGCCCGTTGCCCGCGCCGTAGATCGGATCGGGCACGCCTCCATACGAATCGGGGCTCCGCACAACCCCAGAGACGCGGGAGAGAGGTGATGTCCTCCGCCACCGCCGTCGGCCCCCGGGCTTAGACCGGCGGCGTCCCCCGGCGGCGGCGGGGGGAGGGGAGGGAGTGCGGGCTGGCGGTGGCTAGTTTTTTTGGCGCCACCTGAGTCGCCCTAGCGGGAGGCTAAGGCGAATGTGCCTGTGATAATATTCTTATAGCCGTCTAGAAACATTTCCATATAAATCAGTCGCCAAGGATGCGTCTTGGAGGCTGTCGTGTGTCCAAATCATTATATATTTGTGAAGCAAGGGAGTGCTGGCATAGCTTTGGCATGCACAGAGCCACGGATCATAACAATGGCTGAATATGTATGCACAGTTTGTCCCAAACAATTACCCTATATTAATAATCACGCAGAATGGGAGAAGTGACCTAGTATTTGATCCAAAAAAGATAGTATTTGTCCCAAACAATTACCCTTTTCCAAAAAAAAAAAAAAGATAGTGTCAGTCCATAACACAGTTCAAGTTGATCAGAGGTGAATTGGGTGCAATTGATGAGTTAGAAATAAGGAGTTGGGAGTTGTGACTCGGTTAAGGTCTTAGGGGAGAGATAGTGTGATCATGCGCTAGTCAGGAGGGAGCATCAAGTGCGTCGTTTTATCCTCTCTTCTATGTCAACTCTAGGCTCTTGCACACTAGGGGTCAAGGTCAGATTATTTGGGGCTTGTTCCACCAGACACCAGTGACAACCAGTCTTCCACATCGAACAACCCTGCGGAGAACATGGGCAGAAATATGGAAGTTACGAAGATGAGGGTAAACTATGTGGGAAATAATCATAACGCTCTTCTACACTATGTTTTAACACTCCTACAAAATGCTCCTCATGAATAGTAAAGAACATTTGTGAGTAAGCCGAGCCAGACGCAGTTGTCGTTCCCCCACTGGCTCGAAAAAAGGGGACAAGTTGGAGAAATATTATTGTTGTTTGATGAAGGTTTGAATACAAAAAATCTGCATGTGTTCACATCTGATATCATTTATTGCACGACACAGCGTAGAAATAGTCCACCTGACTAATGATTATGAAGGCAAAGGCAAAATCGCTCTAAACTTCATCTACAGTAACAGTAAGTTCATATTTGTGACTATCGATAATTCTATATGTAACCTAAAGGGCGATGGTTCCAAATTTTACCAACAAAATGCAATTAATGAGGTCCTGCAGTATTCATACCTTCAGCTTGTCAAAAACAACATTTGCACATTTCATATGAAGAAAGACCTAGCAGCTCCCTCCGTCCCATAATGTAAGACGTTTTTTGCCACTACACTAGTGGCAAAAAACGTCTTACATTATGGGACGGAGGGAGTAGTATAGAAGTCATGATCGGTTAAAAAAGCACAAAGCAACAACAAGAGGGATGTAATCTAGAGGAATTAGTTACAGAAAAAGGTACTCTCTCCGATCCAAAATAAGTGTCGTAGTTTTAGTTCAGACGAAAACCACAACACTTATTTCGGAACAAAGGGAGTACATGCGTAAAAAGAGGTGAGCATGGGGAAGAACGTAGGCAGGAATTAACCTCATAGCATCATATACAGCAAAAGCTTCCGTCTCGTAACCCAATTTCTCGCCATTCTAAATAAGGAGATAAATGTATTAGTGCAATCTGAAGACCTAAAATAGAACAAAATTCTGGTAGTACATTGGAGATTATTGAGTTGTTATAGATAATGTGCTGCAAGAAAAAAGAGAACTTAACAAACTGTAGGTGGAAGATATAAGCAAATTTTCATTTTCTAGATCATTATAACTTCCGAAGTCTGACCTCTCTATGATCATTTTCAACAAAATATGCATAACTGCATGCTACCTGAATCATCCAGCGACTAGTAAAAGAAGTTGAACGGGCTAACATATTATGCTAATCGGGTATTAAAGATCCACATACTCCACAGGCTACCCTCAATTGAGGTGCATTTCATACCTAAGCATTAACTATCAAGGCTAGAAGGAGGTTTCGGAGACACGCTCATTTCTGTAGCAACAATCATATGTAGCAATAAGTGGAGCAGAAGCGCCGACCTTGGTAGTGCCGGTGGAGTTGATGTACATGTAGATGGGTTTCTCCGCGTCCTCGTACTGAAGGTAGAGGAACTCGGCTAGCATGAGCTCCGTCACCGACGGCACGAGGCACATCCCCAGGTACACGATCCTGTTCTTGTAAAGGAACGAGGCCAAATCTGGCGGCGGCTGCTCAAACGCTGTTCCCCTCAGGAACGGGATAACCTGCCAAGCAAGAAGACGGCAATCACTTTACCCAGCTGGATGAGCCATGGTGCAGATTCAGCCAGGAAGCAGCGATGAAGTGCAGCTCCTCGTACCATCGCGACGACATCCCTGGTGCCGCGGCCACCGGCGGGGTCCGGGTGGGGGATCAGGAAGCGCTGCTTGGGGGTGGCGGCGACGAAGGCGGGGGAGGCAGCGAGCGCGCGCGGACGGGCGGCGAGGCGGAGGCGGGAGGAGGGGGAGGAGGGGAGGGCGGTGGGAGGGGAGAAGAGGGCGCGGGCGTCGAGGGCGGCGACCGCCTCCATGGCGTAGCAGTTTGGGGGAGCGAGCTGAGCTGAGCTGAGGAGGAGCGAAGCAGGCACGGTCCGAGAGCGGATAAGCCCCGGCGGTCGGGGGCCTTTTTCACTATTATGACCCTTTCAGCAAACTTCATCACAAAATGAACTCGACATGAAAGTATTTCACGATCTGACCTTTTTTAGCAACGTCATAGCCCGCGGCGTTTCTACCCAACATAGCAACGTCGAGGTAGCTAGCGCTTTTGTCCAACAAAGAAACGCCGAGGTAGCTCGCGTTTCGGACCATGTAAGAAACGCCATAGGCGTTGGCGTTTCTGACCAAGAAACAAACGCCATACGTCTTGACGTTGCGGCCCTGATTACCGAGTAGTGTCTTGCCTTGGCGTTTTTAAGAAGGCCGGAAATGCCGCTAGCCTTGGTGTTTCTGGCCCGACGTCTCTGGCAGCTGAGGAGGAAGACCCTGACGAGGCAGCGAGTGGGTTGGGTGCTAGCGAAGAAATGCCAAGGCCTATGGCATTTCTCACCTGGTCCGAAACGCGAGCTACCTCGGCGTTTCTTTGTTGGATGGAAGTGCTAGCTACCTCGGCGTTGCTATGTTGGGCAGAAACGCCGCGGGCTATGGCGTTTCTAAAAAGGTTAGATCGTGAAATACTTTCATATCGAGTTCACTTTGTGACAAAGTTTACTAAAAGGGTCAAAATAGTGATTTCGGCCGTGGTCGGGGGCTTGGTTCGGGCCGACGGCTACATTGGGCATAGGGAAAATCGGCTATTTGCACTTTGAACATGCGGCTTTGCAAAAATGCCGCTCTTAATATGGGCTTTGCGAGTAGAGTACCACGTCATTTCCTTTCCCTTATTCTTTTTCTTTTATTTTTTCATTTACACCCACATGAAAGGACTAGACTATCCTGACTCGTCCAACTTTATCTATTCCCGTTGCTTGGTGTGGTAGGAATGCTTCAACGCGGGCTCTCGCCGCCATAGCTCATCCACGCCTTCGCACGCCTCCGAAGCTCGCCATTGCATGCTCGCTCATGATTGCGTCCGGCCAAAGCTCTCCGTTGCCTGCTCGATCACACTTGCACACATGCCTGCTCGCTCAAGCCCGCCCACCACGGTAGTGTGCTGTCGTAGCACATCCACACCCGCGCCTGCCATCGCAGCTCGCCCACGCCTGAGCTCACCGCGCAGCACTCAAGCGACGTGTTGGAGGAGTGGCGGGGCCGGCGACCAACGGCAACACCAGTGTTCAGTGGCACGACAGGCGGCGTCAGCTGGACCCTTTTGAAGGTTCTTGGAGGAAGGAGGAGAAGACGTTAGATGTGTGCTGGTGTTGAAGATGGATTGCAATTCACACTTGTTCACGGATTGCAATTTTGGCAATTACATCAAGAATAGCAGTCATGTTTAATTTCATAGGTAGTGTAAGTTTGTTGGATTCGCGGTAGCTTATTCCAACACCAATGAAATGGAGTTAGCTGGAATTGGCATAAACCATTATTATCACACCTCCAAAATAAATTACTAGCGGCAACAGGAATGAAGAGTAAATGTTCATTGACTCATTTTCATATGGAATATGCAGGCGAATGAAGGAATACTTCATCACTATTTCAGATCTTCCAACCCCGGTCACTTCATGTTGCATAAACAGGGGATATTGTCTTAATACAATTAAGTAGCAACTCATAATTATTTTCCAGTTTTCTATTATTCCTCAAACCAGACCAAGCTCACATGTAGAGTTGAAAGGATTGATACGGTCAACTAGAGGGGGTGAATAGGAGACTACAAATTTTAATCTTCCTTGTCAATTTTAAGGTTTAGCGGATAAATAGGGTTCACTAAATGTGCAACTAGGTGATCACAACCTATATGACAAGCAAGCTTAAAGCTAAATATGCTAGGCAACAAACTAATTAGCAAATCAACAAGCAAACAAAGCAAAGTAAAGTGCCGAAAAGGATTAACCACAAGTGAAATAAGGACGCGAATTTTATCCCAAAGTTCACTCTTTCTTGGGGAACAGCTACTCTCCGTTTAGAGCGGTGCGAGAGCCAAAGCTTCCGGAACGCCTCCGAAGGCTCACCGTAATCTCTTCCGAGTCACTCCAGTTGATGAGTCTTGAATCACTCGGGATTGGTCTTAAAGGCGACCACCACAGCTTTACAAACTTCTCCGAAGCACACCACAAGCAAAGAAGCTTCCGGAGGAACCTCTAACCGCCTAGGAGCACAAGCTCCAAGAGTAAAAAGTCAATGATGGAAGAATATTGCAGGAAACGCGATTTGATTTAGTCAAAGTGTAGATCAGGTCTTGCTCTCCCAGTCCCAAAAGTTTCAACAAATTTGGATGGAGGGATTGAGAGTATTGAGCAAAATGGAGTGTAGCAATGGTGGAGCTCAACAAGACATTAGGGTTAGGGATGGAGGAGGAAGAAGGGGCTTTTTATAGTTCTCTTGGCTCGGTAGGGCTTTCTGCCCGTTGGACCCATGCGCATGGGCTAAATCAGCCCCGTGCACACAGGGCACCCAGGGAGTTAAGTAGCACCCTGATACGTCTCCAACGTATCTATAATTTTTTATTGTTCTATGCTATTATATTATCAATCTTGAATATTTTATATGCAATTATATAACATTTTTTGGACTAACCTATTAACCTAATAGTAATGGCAAATAGTACAAGTTATGAATTTGGTCCTAATATGATAGGTATTTGATAATCCCCAAGTGCAAGGAATCATCATAGCAATTTCCAAAGATGGAAGCGATAAGTATGGAGTGTCGAACCCACAAGGAGCTAAAGGTAAGATCAATATTCTCTCAAGTCCAATCTGCCACTGATACGACTCTACATACACCGAACGTTTGCTTCCATCTAGAAACGAGAAATAAAACTATGTTGTGGGTATGAAGAGGATAGCTTTGCCTGATATCGGAGAGCTAAAATATAAAAATAGGTGTTGTTATCATAAAGTTAGAATATATTATAATATATTACAAATAGCGAGTGTGGAATAATGATGGAACAGTGTGCGGAGTTGTCCTACGCAATTGTTAATAAGATCAGTAATCATTATTGCAATTTTATATGAGGGAGATGCATGAGCTAACATACTTTCTCTACTTGGATCATATGTACTTATGATTGGAACTCCAGCAAGCATCCACAACTACTAAAAATCATTAAGGTAAAACCCAACCATAACATTAAAGTATCAAGTCCTCTTTACTCCCATATGCAAACAGCCCCCTTACTCGGGTTTAAGCTCCTGTCACTCTAGCAACCCACTATAAGCGAATCATGAACATATTGCAAACCATACAGCGGGAATCCCTCACATGTGCGCGGCACGGAGGGCACCATAGGACAACACCAAAATAAAACATACAACTCAAACCAATCTAGATCATCAATCAACCCAAAAGACAAAAGAAATCTACTCAAAACATCATAGGATAGCAAAACATTATTGGATCATAATATGTGACATAAAGCACCATGTTCAAGTAGGGGATTACAGCGGGGTGCGGGAGAGTGGACCGCTTAAAAGAGATGAGGAAGGTGATGTTGATGAAGACGATCACCGCGGCGATGGTTCCCCCGACGGCACTCCGGCGCCACAGAGAGAGAGGGGGAGAGAGTCTCCCCCTTGTGATTCCTCCTCCATGGCCTCCCCCCAGATGGGGAGAGGTTCTCCCTCTGGTCCTTGGCCTCCATGGCGATGATGGCCCCCTCCGGCTTCCTCCTCCATGGCCTTCGGTGATGATGGCCCCCTCCGACAGGGTGCTAGAGAGGGCCTAGATTGATTTTTCGTGGCTACAGAGGCTTACGGCGGCGGAACTTCTGATCTAGGGTTCTTTTCGGAGGTTTGGGTATTTATAAGAATATTTGGCGTCGGTCTCACATCAAGGGGGTGCCCGAGGGGCCCACAAGCCTGGAACACCCTCCCTAGGGGGTAGGGAGCGCCTAGAGGCCTTTTGGCCTCCTCGTCCACTTCCTGGCCTAGCTCTTTTGCTTTGGGGGTCTCTTTTGGTCCATAAAAATCACCGTAAATTTTCAGCCCATTTCGAGAACTTTATTTCTACACAAAAAACAACACAACGGTAGTTCTGTTGAAAACAATGCCAGTCTGGGTTAGTTCTGATCAAATCATACCAAAACCATACAAAATTGTTGTAAACATGGCATGAAGTCATAAATTATAGATATGTTGGAGACGTATCAACATCCCCAAGCTTAATTCCCGTTCATCCTCAATGATAGTTCCAAACACTTTTTCTAGCACCATTATGTATAATAAACAGTAGCGCATCTCATAAAACTTCTCATGATCAAGTAACAAGCTATTAACATATTAAAGTATAGACCATAAAGTTTCGTGAAAACTAACAAACTATGTTCTCTATCACCAAAAAATTGCAATTCATCTTACTTTCAAGAAGGGTCTATGTAAGAGCTCTAATTTAGAAAATTCCACATACTCAACTATCATATAGTCTTTCATGATTGCTAACACTCAAAGCATATTTTCAGAACAAATAGCATCTGTCAAACACAGAGAAAGATAGGGGCTTTAATGTTTTGCCTCCCAACTTATTTACCATATAGATAATTGTCAACAATAATAATTCATTATCAAATATATTTTAATGTCCATATATGCTTGGATCTTTCCCGCCACATGATGCTTGCTAAGTAAAGATTAATTGGGGTTGAAATAAGAAGGAATACTATTGACTCTTGAATAAAAGTAAATACATGAAAGTAAAAGATAGGCCCTTCGCAGAGGAA